GTGTGGGTGTGCGTACGTGTCTATGTCTATATCTGTGTCTGTGTCTGTTTATTCTTGTATACGTGTGTGTGTTATATATTTGTTTGTGTCTGTGTTTCTATGCGTGTCTGTCTGTTTGTGTTTGTTAGTATATATATATGTGTGTCTGTGTCTGTGTCTGTGTCTGTGTCTGTGTGTGCGTGCGTGCGTGCGTGTGCGTTTTTTTTTGTGTCTGTGTGTCCGTGTGTCTGTATGTGTATACAGACAGACTTGTACATTAAGTTGACACTGATCCTAGTTGTTGCATATATGAGGCGCCCGTCCGTCTTCAGATTTATTACCACTCCTTCATACGAACGATGATACTTGCGCTTGGATTCCAGACACCCGAGCATTCTCAAGCGCTATGGGGTTGATATTTGTTAGTGTTACAATCTGCTTAAGGTCACTCTGTACACAATTCTATCCACAGGAAAATATACACACAACTGACGTACAGGAGACCAAAAAGAATATATGGAGCGTCGTAGCTCGAAAGCTAGTAGTAGGTGACATAGAAGGGAGTATTGACTCCTTAGAGTCATTCAACTCAAGCACAGGTAAGAATTAATCAAAGCTGTGATCGTTTTCGTGTACTTTTGCCATGCTTCCACGAGTGTACGTTAGGCTAGCTATACAGAATCTTGACAGTGTCGTGAACGCATTGTGGTTGGTGCGTACGGGCAACCTCATTCCAAATGCACGTATGCTTGCGCTGTGAGACATGGCGGTCGCGAACCACGGGTGCCATCAACGATTTAAAGCATTAAGCTGTGTGTGTCATAATCGCGAAGCTAATCAACATGCCTCTTGCCTATAGACAAAGAAACCAAATGCGCAATCGAAGCGCTATTGCCTCATCTGAGAGCTATGCCTTTGATGAATGATATGATGTACTCCAGCAGACTGAGGGACTGGAAGGAGTGGTCGCGCTCGATACAGGCAGATAGGAACAATCTGATCGCAATCTCAGAGAGAATTAAAGTAGTATGTTGCCTACTTGTTGGTTATGCTGTGTTGATTTGTTTAATTGGTAGTCTGACCCTGTATACCTAGCTGCTTGGAAATGGAGACGAGGTTTTTTATTGTGGAGATTTCCGCTTTTGTGACATGTTATGTGTACTAGTCCCTGATCCACACAGATTTGGACTGTTATCGGTTTGCGAACCTGTTGCTTAGTTCCTGATGGATTCTGTATTCATAGCTTGATCAAAATTGAACGGTGCAGCTCAAAATTCATGTACAAGCCCTTGCTGGATTATCGAGATTTTACTTTTACTATATTTTTATTTGTTACATAGCGATGTAAGATTATGACCGGCAGTTTCTAGTTCAGGGTGATCGACATTTCGCCCTCGTACAAGTAGTTGATATGTATTGTACTAGTAAACTTTACAAGCACTTCATCACCACCCCGCCATGAATGTTGCAGGCTTCAGACTGACTCGATGTATATTTAATCTGGCTGTATCTCAGGTCGTGGCGATACTTTGTGGCGACGATTGGGCTATAAGTCCTAAGTGCGAATCTTGGATAGAATATGCGATCGCAAGACTAATGTTTGCCACCCCGGAGATCACCTTAGATCGCGTTTCTGAGCACACGGTGTGTACCTCACGTAAGCAGATTATTGAATCCATCTTGTTCAAATCAGTTTCATTTGTATCCATATGTAAATTTTTTGTGCATCGCTTGATTTTGGGCGAGTTCGATTCTCTCTATCTTACTCTCTGCAGATATATAAGCACGCACGCCACAATATGCATTTTCGAACTCCGGAAGCGCTGGACGAAAAATAAGCGTCTCGTCACAGCGTGTTCTATTCAACTCTGAAAGAATCTTCGTAGATGCCACAAATATTGGGATAAAGATACGTGTAACCTTTTCACTGGTGATATCTTCATAGCCCCATACCGTATTGTCCCTCGTTCACCAAGCAGGATCAATGGTTCAATGCAAAACCCACCACAACCAGCAAGACTGACGGCCTCCACACAGGTCTACTCAGCGATATTCTTAAAGCGGTACTGAAGAAAGACACAGTGACCGTGTTGGAGAAAAGCGCGTCCTTGTCAGAGGATAGTCTCCTCCTCACGGCACATTTGGCTGATATACTATTCCACCTCGGAGGCTACCATATGAATGACACATTGAGTTGTGGAATCACGCTGAGGCAGTGGTTTTTGATGCAGTATGCCGATCAGCTGCTGTCACAGATATCGCGTAAGTCGCAATCGTACTTGTGAGCTTTGATTGCGTATGTAACCCCGTCAAGGGAACAAATCACGACAAGTTTTGTCCAAATGTGATATTCTCGATCCCATATGCAATTTTGTTGCCCATAATGACAATCATGCTTGGTATTGTTTTCTATGGCAAGCTGATTGGTTCTCTGGCTAACTCGCGAAGACTTGCGTCGGCGGCATGCAATCGTGATAGTCGCAGATAGCTCATCAGAAATGTTATTTGAACGGCTACTGATGTGAGAAATATTCGGCAACCTGCGAAGTCGGTTTTATGTAGATACTTCTTTGGGATTCTCATAAAGCATCTGGAACTGTACCCAGCTGAGATACTAGTAAGGCCGAGCTGATAGGCATGGCCCATTTGTAGTTTGTTCATTCGTCTGCTTTCCCCTAAATCACAGTGATTCACTGATCAGGTAGATTAAATTTAGGAGATGGAGGAGTGCGCTCCGCGACCATGCATCGATTTGAAAACACGTCTGCTCTCTATGTGATGAGTTTCTTCTCATATCATACTAACACGCTCACCTTTGCAGTCGACGACGGTGAATGCCGCATGCTGGAGATGGCCGGCAACTACTATGCACAATGTGGTCCACAAGGAGCAAGGAGGTTTGCCATTGCACTGCAACGGATACCTATAGATAGTGATAACACGGGTGAGTTCAACACTCGCCACTTTTCGTTACATTGGGGTTTTATTCGCTTGATTCGCATGTGCCTAGGTACTGCTTGGTTCCGACAATTGTTTACTGACGTTCGTTCCCGGTTTAGGCTGTAGATCCCTGCGTGTACAAATGCACAATTCCGTTTTTTTTTCAACTGCGTACTCGATCACATACTGTTGGGCCCTCAGGCACACACTATTGCGCACTCACTCTCACACTATTGCATACCCCAGGTCACCGCATAATCGAATTGGCTCAGGAACATGGTCTAGTAGAGACTGTGGGATATATCTGCAGCGTACAAGGGGCTCAGTGTGTTCGCAGGAATGACTACAGTGCCGCTGTCAGGTGGTATACTCAGGGCAATCATATCAGATTCGCACAACGAGCGGCGAATGAGCTTCTAAAATCAACGCTGCAACGGAAATGCTCGGTAGGTTTGATCTGCAATGGATTTTCAACGACACTGACTCTATCTATATCGGACATATATAAATATGTTTATGTTTATGTATATGTAAATATATATACATGTGTGTGTGTGTGTGTATGTGTGTGTGTGTGTATGTATGTGTATGTATGTATGGATATGTATGTGTATGTATGTGTATGTATGTATAACATATGTATGTACTCGTATAAAATATAGGTATAGGTATATATATATATATGTTGTATATATATATATGTATGTATGTATGTATGTATGTATATTATGTTTATATGTATATATATATTCGTATTTTTATGTATGTATATTATGTTTATATGTTGATATATTCGTATTGGTATGTATATATGTATGTATGTATGTGTATGTGTGTAGATATGTAAATATGTGTGTGTGTAAAATCGTACCTGTGTCGGAAGCGGGTCACTTTCGTCCTTAGTGTATTGTTCAAGTCAATATTGTGAATACGCGACAGAATACTGATGTAATCTTCGCCATTGTCTTTTAGGATCAACCTTTGAGAAGCATGAGATCGTCCGCGAACAGGCTTCTGGTGGATCAACTCAAGTCCAGCCCACAGCTCAACTTAAACGATACCCAAGCTGAGTTGCTTTTGCGCATACTCGAAGGAGGCGACGAGGCGAATACGGCGTATCCTCCAAGTAGGAATATCGCACAGGCTCTTAAGATTCTGACTGAGGAGCGGTGCAATACAATAAAACTATAAATACGAGTCGTAATCTAGTGTCATACATGTGTCGTAGTCTAGTGTCATACATGTGTCGTACGACCTGGGTTGGTGACTACTGCCTTTTCTTGTGGCTCGGAACCTATCATAGGGCAGAGTGGTTTAGTTCACTCGACTGTTCAATACTATATAGGAGGGAAGACAATCACGAGTCCAAGAACATACTCATATTCTCACAGCCTCCTAATATAATTGCAGGAGGCCATGTATAATGATATTCCCGTTAACCCTAAAGCCTAAACCCAAAATGATCTCAAAATTACGTCATCACTTTTTTCTATACAATACATAATGTAAAAATATTATAAATATTTGAACTATGTATGTATGTACATATTTTCATAGCCTTCTGTATGATATTTTTAGTTACATAGATCATAACCTCTCACTACTAGTATGTAGTAGACTAATTGTAATGGTAGACGAGTGAATTAGCTAAGACGTCAATTAGATACCTACACAAACAACGGCAGCATGCATTTCCAGACCCGCAGTGCGCTATCGCCAAACTATCCAACTCCCAAATCGAACGTCCGGATTCTTACCTTGGACACCCTCGTACAAGATGTACAAAAGTGCATACTACAATACTTGGAACCATCCGATCTCCTTCACGTTGGCATGGCGACGCGTTCGCTCTATATGGCAGCGTCGGACGCATGTGTCTGCATCTATGTCATTAGCAGAGCACTGCGACGAGAGTATACTTTAGCGGCACAGCGAGGATTGAAGCAGGCCATTGTGTACGACGAAAGACGGGCCGGACTTGTCACGACTTCGTATATGAAGGTATGTACATAGTTCTGCTTGTTGATGATTGTATGCAGTTTTATATGTAACCCACGCATATGTAAATATATGATTTGGAGATTTACGTATATAGGTATGTATTGGACGTTTCCTATGAGTATTTGTGCAGAAAACTGTGTGTTTCGCAATACATATTCAGGTACATTTCGCCACCTCAAAGATGTACATACACCATAACATTTCATGTATAAAAGTAGTAATAGTTTATAGTATGTGTATGCTACAATAGGTTATAGTACTTTTATTCTTTGAAAGCTTCCTATTTTCCGGTATACTTTGGTTTTGCCTATCGTGTATGCATAGTATATGGCAACTATGTCACTCAAACTGTATACGCACTCACGCAATACGTTCCTAAAGAACCATCTTGGGTTGTGTCAGTTTTGTCAATTACTAGTATTAACTGGATAGATACGCAGTCGGATGTAATATAGTGCTCTCATTGTGCTAAGATTATTGTAGCGATGAGGTTTTCACTTTTCTGGGTGGTAATGATGATGAACAACGCCACGCACAAACCACGCACTAAGGTGTTATCGGTCATGATCTCTGTTTTGATGGCACATGCAGGGCAAAACTTTCACTTACAATGAACCTCTCAAATGAGCTCAGTTTAGGTAAAGAATAATAGCTAATATATGACGGACACGCGAACAATCACGCACCGAGATGACAACTGTGTCTCAAATATCTCAATCCGTTTAAACGTACGGGATACCGGCGTACACCCGACTCCGGCGGCATATGCCTTTGAACATGGCAGTCGGTAGTAGACGCACGCATGTAGTGCGCAGATCTGAGGTAAATGTGTGAAGAAAAGAATTTCACCTCGAATCTTGCAACGGCCGAGCGGATCAACGTGTTGGAAATAATACTGCATACAACAGGATTGGTAGAAACATTATCCATCGATAAGGAGTGACGAGCTCTCTGTACATATAATATCACTACCTAATACACTCCTGGTGAAAATCTACTCTGCCTCACACGCTAGCATTACATGTAGTATCATTCTAAGCTCTGCGTAGATTTTCATAATATACAATGATCCAAGTCTGAAATGAAAGTGAACCATACTCACGTATGTGACAACGATTCATGCTCATGATGATGAACACGTAAACACGTATGATATAGGCAGATGGGGACTGGGGAAAGCGGGTCGTAAAGCAAATTTTATTAGCGCATCGATGGAACGTACTGGAACGGGTCGTGCGTGATGGGTGTGCAATGTATGAGGAGGATTGCAAAGGGTATGGGCGCAGAGCGCTTGAAGCAACAGTCTTTTCTTATGATCTATTGTTTGTACCTTCCTCTATGGTATTGAATTTGTGTATTAGTTGTAGATGAGAATCTCAGCCTCGATAAGAGTTTTCGGACGTGCGCGTGTGGATCAGGAGTTCCCTATCACTCAAATCTAGACTTCAGAGTTCGACTCGCTTGAATGGACAGTATTTATATCAACGTTTCGTGGTATAGCTAGCTGTATTGCTGGTGTTGTGGACCTGAGTTGTTTGTTGGGTATTGTATTTTGCCTCAGCTCGCTGCCTATAGCTTTATTCCGAGTATACATTAGAATGGACCAAGGGCAAGCTTTCTGTTCAATGGCACATTGTTTCGTATTACAATCACTTTCTAACTCTCTAGTGGCACCGCTTGTCGAATGATTTGTTCAACTCGAGGATACCGCACTAATGATATCGATATTTTATATTTATCCGCGAATCTCTGGGTAGAAACAATTGGATTCTCAGGAATGACAATGGGAATGATATTGAGGTATGCCACATGGCAATTTGTATACTGTACACACGCAAGGGCCTGCGGATGCTGGTTATCCATCGCAAGTCAAGTCAAGTCGATACAATCCAGATTAGAGTTCTACCCGTGTCTTCAGTTAGTTAATTGTCGTATTGATCGCCCTACTAGGCAACGGAGTCACTTGGAGGTCTATCACCTACGAGCTATCGAAGGAGACTTTGCCTGGATATCCAGAGAGTTGTCTTCACTAGAGGGGTGTCAAGCTTATATCGCGATTGCTTCTTGGCCGGTGGTAACAAGACCAGTCAGCACGGCACTTTCGACGGTTATACGGCAGATACAACAAGGAATCAGCGCGTAGCGTACAACGCACGCTTGGCGTATACCAAAGGCACAGGATACATACATAGATATGCGGGGGGAAATGTGCTGAACAGAATGGCCACTGGAGCTTCCTCTGTCTATCCAAGCGACCTTAGAAGTGAGCAAATAGGACCAGGGGAACAACCCTTCTCGAACGGCTCTCCAGGGATATTTTCTGAAGACACGCTCGACCTGTTGCACTGTGGATTGCATACTGCGGCACTGAAAGGGCACACTGAGTTGGTTCGGTTAATGGTCACACATGCGCACGAATGGAACCGTACGCGTACGAGTGGAATTTCTTTGGCGTGTTCTAAAGGACAGAGTGATACGATGAAAGTGTTGTTTGCTATTGAAGATCCATCTGCTGACGAAAACAATGCGATGTTCGTGGCAAGTGCCTCTGGGTGCCTTGAGTGTGTAAGTGCGTTGCTTAGCAACGAGAAGACCGATCCACAAGCTGTTAATGGCAAGGCGCTTCAGTTCAGTAGCAGCGAAGGGCATGTAGATGTAGTACGATTGCTTTTGAAGGTATGATATTGTTCCACATTTTAATAAGTATATGCGTTTATGACCTGTTGATGTATAACAACACTGCTATTAGAACACTTGCCAAGTTTAATTTTTTTGCAATAAACCAGGCATCGATATTCGTCTTTCTTCTACCATCTTTCGACTAAGTTTGAATTGTTAAGAGGATATGCGATTTTCACGCATGGACGCATTTCTCATCACAAGACTTGATTAGTTGACTTCCTCACTATGCTTCTATCTCGGTGATAATATTTGCTCCCTGTGTGTTCAAATATATATTTGTGAACTATTTGTGCTGTGCCATGGGTGTTTGAAAAATCGCAGAACAGCCAGGAATTCTAGTGCAGCTGCGGTCGGCACACCTTGTGGTATGGATGAGAAACCGTTATCCATGCTTACCAACCCCCACCCTTGAATCTCGTACAATCATGTATTCACTGATCCGGCATAACACAATCGGCCATTCACGTACAAACTATTGTCCAAACGTAGGATGGTCGGTCCGACCCGTGTGCTAAGAATAGTTTTGGGCTGCGATGGGCGTCGCGGAGTGGCCACACAGAGACTGTGAGCGAGCTGATAAGGGACAACCGCGCAGACCCCGCAGCTCAGTCCAGTGAAGCCTTGCGCTCTGCCTGTGTGTCGGGTTATGGGGATGTGGTGCGATTGCTGCTGTTAGACGGGAGAGCTGATCCACGGGCGAGGAACTGTGAGGGGTTTCTGAAGGCGGCTGAGCTGGGACATACTGAGGTGTGGGAATGATTGTGAGAGCCCTGTGAGGTCGTATGTTCGTGTGGAGGTTTGATTATCGACCTTGAAAAGTTGATTTGCTGTGTTCGTCCAGTGCAATAGTGGTTGGCCTTGTGCTATTTTTTTTCCCAAGATGTACCAGTGTTGCTCATGCCGCACATAGGCTATATACATTCGCGTTGCTCCTTATATACAAGATTAAACAACTGATAATCGATCCTCGACAGAATTTAATATGTGTACTCAATGGCAATGTTTTACAGTACTAAGATGTAATCGACGGATGTTCAAGCTAATTTTGTTTGCATCGTACGATGATCGCCATCCTCAATATTCATTCACTGTAGATATACCATAGTGTATTGCGCTTTTCAACATTGCTGTTTCCCTGTCTCTATTTGTGTGCTCACTAGGTGGTCAAACACTTGCTTGACGACGGTCGCGTCGATCCAGCCACTGATAGAAACAAGGCATTGAGGCTGGCTACAAAATTCCTGCGCGACGGGCGATGAGGCCAGCGTGCATTTTACTGATTCGTTTGATAGCAGATCAATACATTGGTGATACATCTAGTATTTACACTCATTTTCGTGACCAACTACCATGCTGAAGGGGAAGGAAAAGGCAGCCTGAGCCCTGAGATATGAAGATTGGCCCTACTATATGATTGGTTCGCAAGACTAGCCAGACACTTTTATGAGTGAAAAGCAGTTATACGCCAATCCGATTAATACTTAGCTGCGTATATTTAAAAGGGTAGCGCCGAACAGAATAAAATCGTGGTGGTTTAATTATACTTTTGTGCTGAGGTGATAGAGCCTGTTGCTATGTAAGGTTGGAGCCTGTGACCTGTAAACACGAAACTGACGACCTTTGGTATTGGCGTATTGTCGGGACTGTCCCGGTGATACCTCCTTCGAGTCGTTTGATTAAGCGAACACAATTTACTCTTAGTACCTGAAATATTTGACACTAATTTCGTCACCAATGGTGCACAAATTTTCAAGCAAATTTAGACGGATAGTTCGAATGACAACTAGGAAAGACTTCTTGAAAGGCGACTCGGCGTAGCTAAAAGGAAACTATATTGCCTAAAATAGAACCAGTAACTCAAGAGAATCAACGTAATTTAAATTATTTGCCATTTCGGAGAAAGCTCATCAGCCTAAATTCATTAGGAAGTAATAAAAATAATCAGTCAAGAAACTTCAGTTTGTTTTGCAAGCCTATAGAGATTGATCTGGTCCGGCTTGTACATCACTGACTTTCGCTCACTTCCGAAGTTTCTGCTTTGCCACAGAGTTGAAACACCGGATTCACAGATTCGATTTCTGTATCGCAGGTTATATTAGAATTAGGAGCATATTGAAATACAACATGAGTTCACAGTCTAAGCTATAGAATATCGGCAATACAGCGCTGATTTAAAAAAAAAAGATATTAATTGAACAACCCTCACTTTTGTTTTGCAAGCCTATAAAGATTGATCTTATCCGTCTTGTACATCACTGACCTTCACTCACTTCCGAAGTTTCTGCTTTGCCACAGAGTTGAAACACCGGATTCACAGATACGATTTCTATATCGCAAGTTTTATTAGAATTAGGAGCATATTGAAATACAACATGAGTTCACAGTCTAAGCTATAGAATATCGGCAATACAGCGCTGATTTATAAAAAAAGGGTATTAATTGAACAACCCTCACCAGATGATTAAGATTGATGGTCGGATGAACACAATGCCTAAGGCCCCAGCCCCAGGTCTTCCTTTTTTTTCTTGGTATGTACAGTATTGTAACTCATGGTATAAACCTTTTCCTCCTAACTTAAACCTTGCTGACTAAAGCGTCGGCTGTCGGTTTCTTGAAGATGTTTACGCGGGCAAATTGTTTCATCCAACAGGAAACTGAATACGACTTTCGTGTGACACTTGTTCATCTTAGGTGACACACGAAAGTCTAAAACCGACACGATGAAGACTCTCATGTGACGAACCTATATAAGTAGAAGTAACCGTCAGTTGTGAGCTTCCCTTTACTAGAGTGAAGCTGCAACAAACATAAGACAAATAGACTTAGTCTGACTATAACCGTCCACATTCGAGTCGTAATAGACAGGCTTTGCAATTTGTCTTAGGTTGCTGAGCTTTACTTCGTAAAGGTTCTCTGATTCAGTGCTTGCCACTATGGGTCGTAACAACAATACACAACACTAAGCAGTGAGAAAATACTCCTTCGACCCTGAACGTCACATCGTTCCGTGGGTTCGAAAGATTCATGCTAACATTGAGGACACCCCTTTCCAAAAGCTTGATGAACGATGCACCACTTCTGGCCGAAGCGCCAAGATCAACGCCCTCATGAAGCGTTGACCAATCCTCCTGGCACCTTATTGAGCCGTGGTTAACGCCAGCCACTACTCCTCAGGAGTTCATCTCTATTGTCATTGCCGAATATCCCGTCTCCGCCCTTCCAAGTGTCACTTGGCCCTCTTGCGCAATGTTCGCAAGGCGTACTATGGCAGGGTAACCCTCCACAATTACACCACAATTTTACAAGACCGTCTAAAGACTCTTGTGAGCATGCCACCACCGAAGGACAAACATGAAGTTCAAACTTTCTGTGCCACCATGAATTGGTGGGCACAGTATATCCCAAACCTGGCTACTATCTTAGTACCACTAACTGATTTAACATCAAAGTATGTAAAATTCATTTATACCGCTGCGTGTCACGCCGCTTATACTACAGCTATTAATGCCATTCAAGGAGTGATCATGCTCGTTACCCCCAACTCTACTCACCACTAGCACATGTTTGCAGACGCCTGCCCCATAGGTGTTGGAACTGCTGGGTTGTTTGTTTATATCCCTCGCGCACAAGAACTCCTCTCCGTTTTCCCTGTCGGTTGGATTCAGCCTCTCAGCTCCAAGCGCATGGCTTCTGCAGATCAAGCTCTCCTAGACAACAAGCTGGAACAGACCTCTACATCAAATACCTTTGTGCATCTTCCTAAGTTATCCCCTAATGCTCCGTCGTCTTCGTCTGCTCGCTCTGGTTATAAGCGCTCGCCTACCCCAAGTGTTGCGGTAAATTTTACCCTTCCTGCTCTTAAACGAGTTCGAACAACACAGGCTCAACGATATTCTCACCGTGAACGCTTATACTTAGCACGAGCTCGACGTATGTCGTGAAAATCCACCGTGCCTAACATGGCCTCTTCTACAGTAGACCCCTGTATACATGGATTCTGTATAAATGGGATTGACCGCCTTTATCCTGTTTCTTATCGAAGCACTGAGCTTAATTAAGCTCAACGTTGTTATCATATATCAGACTTAGAAACCATGGCTATTGCCTATGGCGTTTAAAAACGGCAATCACCGGGAGCGAAATATTGTGTGCAAGCGGTTCAATACTGCAGTTTATCTGCCAACTGCAGGAGCAGGCCTGGAGAGCGATAATCAGTCAGCTATGATATTTACCTGATAAGTGAGAATCATACATTTGTTCCGACTCCCAATCGACCACCTGCCTAAAGTTCGTTCTAAGCAAATATTTGTGCTTCGAATTCGATTACATCCGTGCCGTTTGGACTTGAGTGATGGTATTGGTAAATCAATGATAGCGATGTAACAATATGTCTCGTGTAAACCATGATAATGCCTATAGAGATCTGGAAAGTGCCACAAAGGATGATAGTGACAGCACTGCTACCGGAGGACTGTCCGTTTCCGAGATTCAAATCGTTGAAGGCAAGGTTACAGAAACGGTCAAAGAAACCGTTATTAAAAGGAAATCGACACCAAGATTAAGGCGGAGAGAAAGTGTTCAGTTTGCCAATCGCATCAGGGTATATCTGATTTAGCTGTCAGGGAAGCAACTACTAGTCTGTGCTTAGTCTTGTTTTCTGTTCCACGTGGAAAACTCAGTGGTCTATGATATAGACGTTTAAATCAGTTAGTATCGTTTGGGTGGGTGAATTGATTTTGAGTGCCTTATTGTCACATCAAATGGTGCATCATTATCTGGATAGACTGTTTATTCTCACGGATGTAGCAGAAGTTATACTCTGGGCATTCCTCTTACCCTGACGATAGTGTCACGTGTTTCACTATTGCTCGGTAATGCTGCGCCAGTTGTGTCTTCAACTAAATCATGCTGCTTGAAAATCGTTGTAGGTCGTACACACGCCTGTGAGGGTAAACGCCACAAGTAAGCTTAGTCAGGTCGCTTGCGGTGCAAACACAATATATGCCTTATCGGAGAACGGCAACCTGTTTGTTCTGCCGCTCAATTCGCTCACAGGTATGTCGCGCATCTTTGGTTGATTTTACGTAGTCCTGAAATTCCAGTCTACTAAGTGGATGCGGTTGTATCGTTTCTTCGTATCGATGAGCTATGGCGGATATATAGATGACATGTACGGGCCCTTCTTGATGGACATAATCAAGTAGGACAACGGGAGCGCAAAATAAAGGGCTCATATGCTGATTATCAGCTTGCTAACACGGCACTGGCCTTAATCCAAGGGGTACGTATTTCCTATATGAAGCATCTATTGTACTAGACGCCCCTTTGCTTTGTATTGTTGATCTGTGCAAACACAGAGGAGCCGACCTCTGCCTGTTTGACACTCATGAACGTGGATAAGGTGGACATGAGACAAGACCCTATAATACATGTAGATTGCGGCGAGCACCATGTTGTTGCTTTAACGCTCCATGGCAAGGTACAAAACTTTTCTTATGTAAACCGGAACATTGTTGTCACTGTTGTGGGGTACCCTGTGCTCAAGTTGACCGTTACTGACCCGCACTTTTAATTAGTGTATGTCTCAGGCGGAGTAGGATAGTACAGCTGGGATATTTAAATGTATCACACTACGGCAACAGATCTTGTTTCGGGATTCTTCATTGATTTATCTGTTTAAATTATGTACCGGTCGGACTTCAGGTGTTATCCGCGCCACAGTCGAGTGATGGAAATAAATACGGACAATTGGGCTTAGGCCATTTCAAAGACTTGTACCAAACGCAAGTCGAAGATACGGAAAAAGTATGTTTGGGCGCTGATTAAACAAGTAGCCTGTAGAAAATGTGCATTAGTTTTCGATAGTGCTTCATTCCCTTGTATATGTGTCGATTTCCTTGCATCGCGATTTGCTGCTTGTATTTGTAGTGCACGAGGTGGCTATAATGTATGTAGCGTCTAATAGCATTCGAATCTAACTGCATTGGTGTAATTATCAGGGAGAACCCTATACGAAGTTGCATCTACTTCAGGACATTTCGAATCAGATTATCACTCGCGTCGCCTGTGGGAAAGCACATACTCTCGCACTCACAGCCAGTGGTGAGGTAAGTGGATGCCCCAAGTGCACTTAACATTATCACTATTATGTATGTCAAATCAGATACGCTATGTATTCGTGGTTAATATCCTGCTGGCGGGCATTACAGTATTTTTGTCGCTGTTTTCTACCTTCTTCTGCACCACACTTATCTTCTTTGAACTATATAGGTTTTTGGTTTTGGTAGTGATCGATGCTTTCAACTTGGGCTCGGTGGATGGGACTCGAAGCTGTCCACCGCCCGCCACTCTCCGACATATATGACTGGCCTATGGCCCTCTGGAACATACGATGGTTGTCGAAAAGGTCAGACAGGGCATTCTTGAGATGTTTCGGTTGACATTATGATACAAATATGCCTCGAGATTGCAAATTTGTACGTGCAAGTGGAAGATTGTTTTAGTAGGCAAGTACGTATGTCTTTCATCTACGTGGTCTTCGACTTATAGGGCCTTTAAGCTGGTTTCCAACCCCTAGTCTAAGCTGTTCACTGGTGGTTGTTACGCTTGTATATGCTATATACAGTATAGCGAAAGCCAACACTTGTATACAAAATATCACAACTACGATATGGGTGCATATGCGAGATGGTCAGTTCCATTTTACTTTTTTTCTTCAGAATTCGTATCTTGCTTCGTGTGGTATATTTACGTTATGGCGAAATCTGTAATCGTCTCTGATAGCAACCACCCCTTTCACTCATGAAGATTTATGGCGTGTGATTCTGTTTCTGTATTGAAGTGACAATGACTCATGCTCATCCGGTAGCATTCGGTGCAAAATAATCGGGTTCAAAGTCTGCTACATCTAAGGTACAATTATTTCATTTATTGAAGTGGATTTTATCTATATATGCAGCTGTTGCGATAGCAGCGGGTGGCGAGTGCAGTGTTGTATTGGTGGAATCGGCGGACGGCGGAAAGACAGAGGTGTTGACGTGTGGAAACGGAGTGTATGGTACGCTGGGCAATGGCACGTGGAA